TTGAGCTCCGGAGTTCGAGACGAGCCTGAGCAAGAGCAAGACCCCATCTCTACTAAAAATAGAAATAAATTACTTGGACAACTAAAAATCTATATACAAAAAATTAGCCGGGCATGGTGGCACATACCTGTAGACCCAGCTACTCAGGAGGCTGAGGCAGAAGGATTGCTTGAGCCCAGGAGTTTGAGGTTGCTGTGAGCTAGGCTGAAGATGAGGCACTCCAGCCCAGGCAACAGAGCCAGATTCTGTCTCAAAAAAAAAAAATCTCATTATTGGAAATAAAAGATTTTTTATGTGAAGCATGTGAAGTAACTTATATAAAATGGGCCTCAGTCAACTGTTTTCAAACTTATCCTTCTGCTAATGGACACAAGCCATAAAGGTTATACTTCTACTTGTCAAATCAGCATGGAAAAATATGGAATCAAAGCTAAGCAAAGTTAATTTAGAAGAACCTTCATTTTCTCTAAATAAAAGCCTTATATCAGAGCGATACTTTCCAAGGGGATTAAAGAATACATTGAGCTACCTAATTCTCTTCTGAGATCTGCAAACTTTCTTGCAAATAAATCAGGACACACAGCCTGTCAGGTAGATAGGGGAAGTGTGCAAGTCAAGGGCTGTGTGGGGAGGAAGCAGCAGATGCTTCAGACACCCACAGACAGGCAGACCTAGAGGTTTGTGTTCGGGGCTGACGCACTGTGGGAGGATAGTTGTAATACTGCGCACAGTAGTAAACTGCCACATCTTCAGCCTGGAGGCTGCTGATGGTGAGAGTGAAGTCTGTCCCAGACCCACTGCCACTGAATCGGTCGGGGACCCCAGATGCCCGAGTGGATGCCCAGGAGATGAGCACCTTAGGAGCCTGTCCTGGTTTCTGCTGGTACCAGGCTAAGTAGTTGTTATTGTTGTATAAAAGACTTTGGCTGGACTTGCAGTTGATGGTGACCCTCTCTCCTGGAGACGCAGCCAGGGAACCAGGAGACTGAGTCATCACAATGTCCCCACAGGCACCTGCAATTAGGAATGAAAGTGACAATAAATTGCATCACTTACATATTAAAAAAATATATAAATGTGTTTTTTTATTTTTCATAAATGAGCAAACATTTTCGATGATATATTTTTTCACTGTACCTATTAAAAATCATTTTTCCAGTTTTGTAAAGACATTACTCCTCTAAACCTCTTACCTGAGACCCAGAGTACCAGGAAGGCCAGGAGTTGGGGCTGTGGCTCCATCCTGCTGCCACTCACCTGTCTCATGCACTCAGGCCCCCTCTCCAGGGAACCCCATTAATAGAGCTCTGAGCAGCCCGCCGTGTGCCTGAGGAGCCTATGCAAAGCATCAGGGAGTATGAGAGCAAAGGGCCTGTGCACTGAGCTGTGAAGACAAACAGAGGACAGAGGGGACAAAAATACCCTTACCCCAGAAATGTGATTGTATGACTACAGAAGCCCAGGAATCAACTTAAGACTACAAATTTCAAAGTTTAACAGTAGTTACGAAGGTAAAATATTTTTATGTCAACTTTACTCTTTCTAATCTGCTGCAGTCAATTCAAAAACATGAGTAAATTTTGGCATTGAATACAGGTGTTTGTGAACATATAATTTTAAAATGTAATTGAAACACAAATATGGTGGTAGGACGTAAAATGCATTGCTGTCACTGCATAAGACTATGGTACATGGAGCAAACTTGTATGTCTATCTCAGACTCTCTTCTGAAGTTTAAACACATATTGGAAGTTCCTATTACAAAGGCACCTCAATACATCCAAACCAGACCCCTGATATTTCCTTCATCAGAAACACTAACTCAGCAAATGAGTCACGGATACACATGAACCCCCTTGTCACTACTGTTTAGTTCAACCAATTTCTCCTGTAATATCTCAAGTCCTCCCATATCTGAGACAAGCCTAAGGTGTCACAGCTCCTCCTGGGGGCAGCAGGCAAAATAGCCTCTGCTGCCAAGATCTGATAGAGCAGTTATTTATTCATACACACAATCAAAAATATTACAGAATTATACACATAATAGTATCCAGGCATAGGGCAACAAATTATGAGCAAATCAAGCAAAACTCTGATCTCACAGAGCATTTATTTACAGAAGGGGCAGAAGGAGAGAGATAATAAACAGACAAATAATATTTCTGCTGTCACTCCTACCCTGCTCCCTGTGAGGTTCCTCAAATGCCCCTAATGTTCTCAACCAACTTCCTATTGGTGGTTTCGAGAAGGTAATCCATTCCGCATTTGCCTCGCCCCACACACACCTTTTGTCTGCTCTTGCACAGAGTCACGTTTACATGCACATAATTCTTATTTGTACTCACTTAACAATGTGACTTCCTACTCCCTAACATTGATGGTTTTCCTGCTTCAATGGAGCAGAACCCCGTCTCATCATAACAGAACATTCAGACATCTCAGGCAGGCATGAATGACAAGGTAACAGAATAGGATGTGTGCTAGAGAGTGACTAGGGCAGGAGTGGGCTCCCACCAAAAATGTGGGGGCAGCAATGTCCTTCTTGAGGAGGGACCACTCGAGTTCTTGCCTGAAAGAAGGAGAGAGTTGATTGTGCAGAGCTGAGGGAAGAGGCCTTTGTGAAATGCACAGGGCTTGGGAGAAGGATGAGTTTGGTGTGTTAAAGGAAGAAAAAGAAATCAGTGTGTAGAGGGGGACAGGGACCTGAGGCTAGGACATCATAAATGCCCGGCAGGGAGTTTGGAGTTTATTTAAGTGCAATAAGCATCCATGGGATACTGCTAAGAATTAGTTAAGGTTTTTACCAAATATTTTATAGGGTATGTTATTGTACCTGGCACTGCAAAGAGGAGGAACATATGGAAGCCATTGCTCACATATCTGTGCCACCTGGATACGTGTTCATTTATTTCCTCCTTATCTGGAATAATATGAATAATATTAAAGAGTGAAATGTCCAAACCCTACCCAATTACCAAGATCCAACGAGGGCCCAATGAGTATTTGGTCAATAATGAACAAGGAATGTGTAATAGACAAAATTCTTTTTTTTTAAATTTTTTTTAATTTCAGCATATTACGGGGTTACAAATGTTTAGGTTATGTATATTGCATTTGCCCCACCCAAGTCAGAGCTTCAAGCATGTCCATCCTCCAGATGGTTCTCACCACACCCATTAGGTGTGTATATATGCATACCCTCCTTCCCCCTCCCATCTGCCCGACACCCTATGAATGTTATTACTATATGTGTACTTAAGTGCTGATCAGTTAATACCAATTTGATGGTGAGCATATGTGGTGCTTGTTTTT